GAGAGCAGAAGTGAGATAGAATACAGTGCCCTGATTGGTTACGCGCCTCGGCCGCGCATGCGCACTCCATTTTAGGCTTCACTAACATCAAAGGTGCCGACAGAGAGTTGCGCTACTGTATATACTGTGGTTGTACATACACAGGCAAAAATGGTCAAGATATGTTATTTATGTGGCAAAAAGCCTAATGCGCCTAATGCGACTGAAAACATTAGTTTGCATAGGTATGAAATAGGTATTAGTTTGCACTGATTATCATGAAATTTCTGTAAGGGATTGCACTGTATTCTTATATACATAACGGCAATTTTGAAAAAGTTTATTTCATAAAATTAGGATTAATTTATTTATTCCGACTAAACTGACTCTGTTAACTGTAACAAGGTTATGCCCTGAAGCGGAATCAATCACTTTTTCCTTCTTCCTTACACATATATGTATATTTATCCTTCTATTTATTATTGATGGAGGGGATGAATCCGACGCATGCGCACAACGTTCAAAGTACGCTGAGAAAGAGAGAGAAGTATATTCCCGCACCGTGGTTCTGGGACATGGACTTCTCTCTCATCTAGCCATATAGTAGTATTACATATATGGTAATAATCTATGATTCGCGTCATATTTTTTCACAATACATAACAATATTAAACAGAATGCCCATGCGATGTAGTGCAATAGGTTGCAAAAGCAATACAAATATTAATAAAGAAAAAGTAGACATGTCAATAAAAAAAATTTCATGGGTAAAGTATAAATAACTATATATATATGTACACATATATGTATATATGCACACTGAGTGCACGCATGCACAAATACACACACAGACACATATATATACATATGTATATATCATACTTATAAATATTATTTATGAATTTTCCGTTCTTCGTTTCATACTGTTTCAAATGACGCGCTTCGGTAAGCCACACCAATATGGCGCTCATTGTTCCCCCCTTACGTCTGGTTATCCAGGCCAGGGGGAGGGGGTATATCCTCCCTCCTGTTATTTCTTACCTCCATGGTGCCGTCCCATTAAGCACGGATCGGAATGACGGATCGGGTATCTCACTAGAATTGAGCATTCCGTTCCAGTTCCGTTCCGTGACAGTTTTTTCTCTACCTGTCCCATTTAGCAAAAACGGAACGGAATGTCGCGTCGATCGTTGGTAAATATGCTTGATTCATCGATATTTCGTTATTTTGAGCAGTTGAAGCAATAATATACATATAATTTGTGCATTTATCTTGCTGATAATATTGTTGTGAGTTCTCTAAAATATTGAATTGTAACGGTAAAATATATTTTGTAACTAGATTCCTTTCCGTTTTTGCTGAATGGGACGGGTAGAGAAAACTGTCACGGAACGGAACTGGAACGGAATGCTCAATTCTAGTGAGATACCCGATCCGTCATTCCGATTCGTGCTTAATGGGACGGCACCCTAACAGCACAGTATAAAGATATATCCTTAGGGTTGCGCACAATGGGGGAACAGATATTAGATATTAAAATATTAACCTATCAGATACCAGTTACACCGGAATACACGATTCTGATTAGGGTGCAAACCCATGCAGCGGAATAGCGTAACGCGGAACGAGAGCAGAACCAATAACGAGCATTCCGTATTTCTAGAGAATCTCGTGATTGGTTCTACTGCACCCTGAGCCCGGATCCTCATACGGACAACAGCGCTTTGACACCGGACGCTGATTGGTGAAAAACGGGTTATGGGGGTAAATTTTACCCTCGCCACCGGTTTTTCACCAATCAGAGCTTTGACAGCAACCGACGCAATGTCGCATCTCTGTTTTCTAGGCCTCTAGTTCTGCGTTCCGCTATTCCCCTGCATGGGTTTGCAGGTTTGCACCCGTTGAGAAATAATTCTCAATCGTCAATCATCGCTAGTGTGATTACGGCTTTAAGGGTGCGTTCCGAGTCGCGCATGAAGCGCGTAGACTGCATAGAAAGTCGTTCCGAGTTAACTATTGCGCGCTTCGAAAGCGCTTCGAGAATACTTGAATTCCCCAGATTGTACTAACCGTACTGAATTCTTAGTACCCCACTCAGCGCATTGACTGCTTCTCTTTCGACCTGAGGCAGTTGATGTGTCTGATGCGTTCATGCGGTCTATGCTCATGATTTGTAATTCGGAACGAGCAACGAGTACCGGACAATACAACAATGAACGGACGAATATTTGCGATTTGCGATGGAACAGCGATTACAGCAATTGCATGATTTCCCGGTCTTATTAGAGGATAAAAATAACGTATTAATTTTATTTTTAAATGAAGAGGATATGGCGAAAGTAAGCCAAGATAAAATTAATGGCATTATTCAACAAAAATTAAAAGGGCGAAGTAAGAGTCAGAAGTAAATTACATTTAAAATAATATTAAAATGTTAACATATTTACAATAGAAATATTACAAAAATTGCTTAACAATTGTTACGCGCAGCATGTTTTTAATTTTAAGTAACGGGCATAATGTTTTTAATTTTAAGCAATTTTTTGTAATATTTCTATTGTAAATATGTTAACATTTTTAAATTATTTTAAATGTAATTTACTTCTGACTTTTACTTCGCCCTTTTAATTTATGTTGAATACTTTCATCAAAATTAATGGCATATTATTTTACCTTGATTTATTTAATGTATAGATTAGACGTTATATTAATTAGAAATTACGCGATCGACGTAATCAATAATTTTTTCAACTCCAATTTGTTTCCCACGTGATTTATCTAGGTACTATTAATAAAAAAAAAATTTCTGCGTATCACTTAGAGATATGCCTTCGACTTCATTTTCACTATCGCTCGAGTCGGAATTGTCATCGGAACTTTCATCATTTTTCTTTAAAAGTATTAAAGAAGAAATTACAATTATTAGAAATTGTTTATTGACGTCTTGTATAGCGTCCATCTTGAACTCGCATAGCTCGCACAGGAAACCGGTCCAAATTCATAAGCGCTTCATGCGTATTATGCGCGCATTGAGAAAACGGAACAATTTCAAAGTGTTGTGCATCAGTATTGCAGTCCACGCGCTTCATGCGCGTCTCGGAACGCACCCTAATGTAGGATTCACACTGCGTACGACATCCGACGTACGACGGTACGATATCCAATAGCAGAGCTTATTACAAAATATTGTTAGCTATATATCAAGAAAACAAGCTCTCCTATTGGATATCGGACGTCGTACGTCGGATGTCGGACGCAGTGTGAATCCTACATAAGACTCTAGTATCTCTAACCTTTAAAATATATTGAGTACGAATGATGAGTTTTACATAACCTTAGCATGATTTGTAGGATCTTAAATAGTAAGTTATTAATATAGATAATTTTTTGTAACAGTGATCTATGATCAAACTGAAAGATGTTATCTGATTATAAAATGATGTCATGTACAATCTGGCGACGACTGCTTTATTCTAAATATGAAATTTTTTTCATTGATATGTATCCTTTCAGAAAAATTTTACGACTTATATGTAGCAGACTGCAAGTAGCGGCCGCAGGTTTGGAATTAATTCCAAATAATTGGAAAAATAATTTTTGAAAAATTGAAAGAGAATTGTTAAAATGATATTTACATCGATACAGATTAATTGTGCTTTTATACCTGGGCTTTGATATACATATAGCTTTCATGCACTCTTTATTTAAATTTAATATGTTGCACTCCACAAAGTCACAATTATCGCGACTTTACTCGACAAGACAACGCACTAATTTAAAGAATCATTATGATACATTAAATATCAATCCACATGCCACTCAAAATGAGGTGAAATCAGCATATTACAAACTAACTCTACAGTATCATCCTGACAAGAATAAGAGTGAATATGCTAAACAAAAGTTTCAAGATATCTCAGAAGCTTACAAAGTGCTCAGCAATTACGAGCAACGTAAAATTTATGATCAAGATACAATGCTTCGTCGACAACCAGAGGCGACTGTCACCCAGGAACCCGTTTTCAATTACAAGGACAAAGTTTATTCAGGGTCATCAAAATTTTACAATTATGATGTATGGATACAGGAGCACTATGGAAAGCAATTATACGAATCACGCTTCAGGAGACAGAAGTATGAAAACATCAGAACAATGAAAGAAATAGATAATCATGCAAAGAAGAATTCTTTATATGTAGAATTTGCCATATTTTTATTAACTCTAACATTGATTGCTATGAATTTTCAACATAAATACGATACTCCAACATCTCAGAAACTTAAGACAGAAAGTAAAGATAAATAAAAAATTAGTCCATATTTATTTATTTGAATAGTGTAAATTTGTTCTTATAATTAATGTACAAAGTTTATTTTTATGTCTACTTATTGTTACTATTAAAATAAAGACAACATTAAATAGATCATGATGAATAAGATATTTTATATAGTCTTTAAAAAAAGTGTTATGTACTATGATAAAAATTGTTATTAACAATATGCAGTTAACATTCAAAAGTCAGCGTATCCAAATATAGACATCTAAATATTTCACAATGGTATATAGACAATATTTTAGAAATATTAGCATGTTAAAACATTGTCTACCATTAATAGGTAAATAACGAAGGATTTAGATAATTATTATAATCAGCTCTTATATAACATATCGTCTAATATAAAAATAGTGAAAAATTAATGTGCAAAAGATATAATATGTAAAGAACATCAGATATCTTATGATCAAGGAAACATCATAGAAACAAATAAATATATGATACATTTTTACATTAATATGGTCTATAAACTGGTAATCCTGGCAATGGCATCGGCATAGCTACTGGTCCAGTTGGATACGGGATGGAAGGTACTAGTCCAGGGAAATTTGAAGTGGCTGGGTAGCCAGGAGTGTTGCTCGAATGCCCTTTCCTTATTATCTCTCGTAGTTTATCTACCTTTACTTTACGCAAGTGCATCAATTTTCTTCGTGACAAAAACTGATCCAAGAACACGTCTACCTCAATATCACCGGCTAGAAATTTCTGCGCTATCCCCTATACATTAAGAGAATCAAAAGTTGAATAATTTTACTAAACAAGCGAATGAAAGTCTTGCTTACTTCTGATTCTTCTTCAATCTCAGCGGCTGCTGCTTGTAGTAGATCAAGTGCGATATCGACAGTCATTGTACCAGAGTTATCACCTATAAATATATATACAGCTTTAAGAATAAATCTTTCTTTTCTGTTGGAGTTATTAAATACACTACTGCTCGAAAGTTTGGAGTATCTTTAATTTTGAAAAGTGTAATCAACTTTTGAACAAAACTTTTGCAAAAAGTTTGTTATTTTAATAAATTTTATTTTTCAATAGGGTACGTTCAAAAATCAAAATTAATATTTTCAATAAAATAATTATATATAAATATTTTCATTAAAAAATTATAGTATTTCAAACATTAAAAAACAGAAATATATACAGAACTTACGCATTTTGTCTATTTTATCCCTGACACTGGAACACAATTGGTTAGCCTGTTCGCTCAATTCCTTTAAAACTTGTTTACCTTCTTCCAATTCGGGTTGCTTGGACAAGTTAAATTCAGCTAAAGATCTGTTACTTGCCATTAACATCTCCTTCTCAGTCTCAAGATCCTTAAACTAACATTTTTTTATGCAATAAGTGTAATCTTTTCTATCAAGGTAGTCTCTATTCTTATACGAGATATTATAGATTTAATTGCAACAAGAGCGTAAAGAATTTTACTTTCAAAGGAAAAGATACATTCTTAGGAATCCAGTGAATCTCAAAATCATTATATAAGATTTCTTTCGGCTGCATTTGATACTTGAGTATTCCCTAATAGCACAGAGTCGTCTCTGAGTCGACTTATGCTGCTAGACGTCTGAAAATAGACGTCCGTATGTTGACTTTAGACAACTTAGAGACGTCTCCAAGTCATACAATGTCCCACTTTGAAGACGACTGTAAGTCGACTTTAAGTCAACAATCATGCGGACATATACATGCGGCATTCTGACGAGTCGACTTAAAGTTATTTTACAAATGTCTATTTCTAGATGTCCTAAAGTCGACATTTAAGGACGTCTATAGACATCTGAATAAAGTCGACTTACGGTCGACTCCAAAGGGCCTGACTTAACAAAGTCGACTTGTAGTTGACATATAGACATTTGTGCTGTTAGGGTTAGTATTCTTTGCGTTGCCATCGTACCTGCTTTATATCTTTCACGATATCTTCGAATTTCCCATCATTATTTAATAATTCCTTCAGCTCATCGTTATCCAAATGAGACAACAAACCCAATGCTGCGGGTATATCCGGTTCCTGATTCGATTTATACATCTCTTAAATACTAATTTGCAACAGGATATTCGGATTAATGTCTACTTTTTGTGAGTTTAAAAACAAATATTCTTATAAATGCGCATTTGCGATAAAGTGATGACAACTTCTCTTGATACTCCGACTGCTCTGAAGTTATTGAAAATTGAGAAGTATATATATATATATAGGAGGCAATCAATTTACAATGCTATCTTCAAGTCGAAACCCAAACTAATGTTGACAATATTACCAAAACTGTATCTAAGGAAGATAAAGCTGCATTAATGAAACATTAACGGCCGATAATTTGTATACCTGTCAGATCGAGCTTTGGACAAACTTGAGCGCCGCAGCTAACGCCTGCAGCGCCACAACATGCTGGACAGTGCTGCCGCTGTGTGGTGGAACGTGCGACTATTCGACGGTGTGACCGGTGAGCTTTTCAAACTCGAGACGCAAATCGATCCCGACTGATCCCGACCGCGGATCCTGGTGCAAGAATTGTTTGCTGGACCCTCCAAGATTATTTCCACAATCTTGAACGGCGCTGGTTACGTCAAAGGAAAACGTGACATGGAATCCGCGATCGGAAATCTCGAGGAAAGCGTGAGTATTTTTGCGTCTCGATCTGACAATGGAAATTGTCAACATTGTCCATTCACGAAGTGTCACAAACATTGCTTGCACTATCAAATTTTTCGTCTTCTTGTGTCACAGGTGCAGAAAGCCGACGGGAAACTGGACATGATTGCATGGCAGATAGACGAATTTGAGAAGGCCTTCGAGGAGCCAGAAGACGAGGTAAGAGTTCACTTTTCTGCTTTAAGCCAGTGACACACGAAAACGTAAGGCAGTCAAGACGTAGTAAACGAATCGATCAATCACAATAGAGATTGTAAACTCAGTAGCAAATCAAATGTTACGATTTCTTTACTGCTTATGTTTTACTGCCTTAAGGTAAAAGTACCTATTATGGAACATTTTTCAATAATAGGAAAATATTACAGTTGACTGTAAGTAATTAAAAGCTCTATGGGTAAAAATTCGAATGTATTTCGATAGACTAATATTTCTTTATGAAATAATAAGTCGTAAAATGTTTATTTATGACAAATAAAACAAAATAAAAGATAAAACGTAAAAATTGAGCATGCATGTAATATGGAACACCGTTTTCGCACCATGTCCCGGTGTTCCATATTCGACGTCCTCTCTTTGGAACAGGTATGTATCTTGCTAAAAAGGATAAATCTGATTAACAAATTTCGTGATTAACAAATTTCATGGATGTATTTCATGAACGGCACAGGCGGTAAATGACGTGCTCGTGAACTTGGAAAGTATCTTTGAACTGTTCTATCGTGGGGGATATTATAAAAATTCGTGTATATAATATGGAACAGTAGTTTAAACAAAAATTATTATAGAAATTAATGAAATTTATTTCTATAAATTATTTATGTATAAATGTGTTTATAAATATCACTAGAATTTTTATATCTGTTTAAAAATACCTTTTTTTTTCCTTTTTTTTTATATTTACCATACTGTTCCAAATAGGGGACAGAGTTATGAAGGTGTTTCATAATAGGTACTTTTACCTTATGTTTTTGTATGTGCAATGAATTTTAATCAGTAGCGATTACCAGATCACATATCGAGCCTGTTCCTTAAGTACATTCAGAATTATAGTCAGTCCATGGAGAAAACGACCAGGCTTTGTGCAACTTGTGATCTCATGAGCTGTAGTAGGGGGTGTTTATGTGAAGTAATCGGATCCCTGATCCTAAGTTGGATCATTGAGCAGTGGTACTCAATCTGAAGACTTTAAATGTTCTTAGATTATAATCCGTGCTGTCTATGAAACTCGGATTTCGGACTACGGTAATTATGGAGAAAACGGCTGATCTCGCCGATTTTAATGAAACTAGGCTAGGCTCATTCGACGCGTTCTTGCACGAAACGAAAGAATCTGGCAGAAAAAAAGTGTCGCTCTGCCCTACAAACCGAGATATTAAACGTTAAAGTTGACGACTATTCAGGTTTTGAAATCTGTCACAGCCACGAAATATTGCGCTGCAATTATATTTTCATGCTGTAAATCATAACCTATGTGAACAAAGGGGTGTGTAGTAGTGACGGGAAGATTTGAAAAAATCGATTTTAAAAATCGATTCTCTTTTCTTTTAAGAATAGTTTTCAGAATCGATTTACTGACTTGGAAAAGATCGATTCTAAAAAAATCGTATAAGAATTTTTTACTCTTTTCTACATATTAATGTATAATTATCGCTTTTTGGAAAAACGAGGAAAATTTTGGAAAGTAAAGGAGACTAAAAGAATCAGGAAAAGTTTAAAATAATTCAAATTATATATTATATTTATATATATATATTTTTTATATTTATATATATTTATACATATATGTATATATTATATATTTTTTAAAATTTGTAATAAAAACATTTTTCAATCAAAACAAAAAAATTGCTGCTGCACTCTGCAGCTAATTAAAAATGAAATCAATTTTTGCATTAGCCAATCTTTTTTGCTGCGATCAGTGCGATCACCAATATTCCTTATTTAATGAACTTAAAAATATAATTTTAGAAACCCGTTTTCCTTTTAACCGATTGCGTTTCTCAGTAATGATATTGCCGGCTTTACTGAATAGTCTTTCACATGGCACGGAGGTACCAACAATGACTAAATATTTTAAAGCTATTTCGTATAAGTGTGGATAACAGTGCTCTCAAATGCTGCCAAGTTTTTAAAGGACACTCTTTTCTATTTCCCAACAATCAATTAGGCTGTATTTTCATGCACTCATAGCTGACGCTCAATGCTCGATATGAGCATCAAACTAATCACGTGATCTTCTTAGCGAGAGAAAAGCCCTCATCAACCAATCACAATAAATTATTCTCATATTCGACTGCGATTAGCCAAAAAGAAACCGATTCTCTAAAAAAAAGAATCGATTCAGTAAGAATCGAAATTTCAAAAAATCAGATAATAATCGGGCTATGCCGCCCCGAACATAAAAAAAATAACATCCTACCTACTTGAGGCCTAACTGCCTAGAAGTTATAGCGTAGACAGTGTCCACTTGGAATATTCTTAACTCATAAAGACAGTGGAATGTGAGAATATTCCAAGCGGACACTTTCTACGCTGTAACTTCTAAGTGGTTAAGCCCCAAGTACGTAGGATGTTATTTTTTTATGTTCGGGGCGGCACAGCCGCCTTTTTCTGCCAGATTCTTTCGTACAAAACGGCATCAAATAAGCCTAGTTTCATTAAAATCGGTGAGATCGGCCGTTTTCTCCATATAATTACCAATAAAATATTTCTTTTCTGTACGTGCTGTTGCTGTGGATTTGGTAAATTTACTCGGAGAGGATTAATATTTCTACAAAACTATTAATGTGTATTTTTAAGAAATAATATGTTTTTGATAGTATAATTTGTCTAATTTTAGGATAAATATAATTACAATAGATCGTAATATTATTATTAAAAAATATATTTTGTATAAAACAATGAGTAATAATAAGGGCAATGAGCCAAATACAAAACGCAAGAAAAATTTTTCAAATTAAGTATAATATAAAATTTAAACGTTAATACAGACGTTTCGACGCCGATCGGGTCATCTTCAGTGTAACAAACATAAATAAATTATAAAATTTCTGTGTCGATAATCATGTCAGGATATTGTTCGCATATTGAAATTGTAGTCCATCTTGTAAAAGTTAATCCAATACAGTAAATTCAATTTAATAAAATTTATATAATTTGTCATAAGAATCTTAAATAGCATATTAAACAAGTGTTAAAAGATAGTTACCTTATTAAAAATTGTGTAATAACTAATGTCAATAATGTAAAAATCCATGTTGTGAAAAATGCAATGTCGTCAATGATAAAATGTTATAACAATTCAGATATAATCCAATTTACAGCTTTATCGACTTCTTATGTTAATGTCGAGAAACGCAATGAAGAAATAAATTCTTTATAAGAGGCAAAAACCAACTGAGAACAGTCTAAGAGGTAGAGAAGGACTGTATCATATTTGTATACATATCGGGCAATGACTCCGTATCATTTTGTTTATTTATGCCATGTGTCTGTTTTTTAATATAAACCATTTCGGATATCAATCTCTTTTGTAGGAAGGTTCCACATCTAATACTTCCACATTATTCCAATTAAAATTATGATTATTGTCTATTCGATGGTTAGTAACAACAGATGGAGACTTTGATAATTTAATTGTGAACATACTTTTATTGAGTTTTTAAAGCACATTGAATGTAATATTAACGGTCGTCCTAATAATATTGCAAATTTCGTGAGAAATAATGCTTTACCAATTCTTGAAAAGCTCCATAATATAAAAAATGACTCGAATAGTAAACTTTTGTCTCATTGGATTGCCTCTACTAATAAATTTATTAAGGAACACTCAGAAGTGTTCTTTTCCAAAGCTGACAAAGGAAATGTGACCGTAGCTCATAATAAATTTGATTACATTAAAAAAATGGAATTGATGCTCTCGGATAATAACACTTATGAGGTTATTAAAAAAGATTCTACTAAGAAACTTTCTAATGATTTACGGGATATTTTAGTTCGCTGAAAAAATAATAAGTATATTGATGAATACACGTATAAAAATTTATTGATCACTGATGGCAACACTCCTAGGGCATACGGATTGACTAAAATTCACAAAATTGACTTTTCTCTTAGAATCATAGTATCTTCCATCAATAGTCCGTTATATAATTTATCTCTATATTTACACCGAATTATAAGTAAATCCATTAGTGAATCTCTAAGTTTTATTAAAAATAGTGTTGATCTGATTAAAAAATTAAAAGATATTAGAATGGACTCTGATTCTCTATTAGTTTCTTTGGATGTCGTCTCCCTTTTCACTAACATTCCTATAGATTTGGCATCTGATAGTGTTGTTAGGAGGGATGCTATATCTAAGACAACAAAAATTCCATTAGATGAATTTATGATTGCCTTTCGCTTTGTTCTAAATTCGACCGTTTTTATTTTTAACAATAAACATTATAAACAAATTTTTGGAACCCCCATGGGGTCACCATTATCACCAATGGTCGCCGACATTGTTATGCAAGATTTTGAGGAAGTTACAATTAAATCATTATCTGTTAAGCCATCCTTTTACTATCGTTACGTAGATGATATTATTCTTGCGGCCCCTGCCGAGAATATTAATTGCATTTTGGAACGTTTTAATTCTTTACACACAAGAATTCAGTTTACCATAGAAGTTGGTAATGATAATAAAACATGTTTTTTAGACACTTTGATTTTAGTTGAAAATAATAGATTGATTTTTTATAACTATCGTAAAGCCACATTTTCGGGTAGATACCTTAATTTTCATTCCCAATCCTTTGTGTCATAAGAGAGGAGTAGTGTATGGGGTTGTTGATAAGATAATTCTTTATTGTCATCCTAGGTTTCAACGGAACAATTTGATTGACGCGATTAATAATTTTTTAAAAAATGGATACCCCCTGGATTTTATATTTTCGACTCTTAATAATAGATTAAAATTTAATTTAAACAACACAAATTCCATTAATAATAATGTTGGTCTCAAAAAGTTTTTTACTGTTCCTTTTGTAAAATCAATTTCAGAAAAATTTACACCTATTGCTAATTCTGTCAACTGCAAACTCGCGTACACTATTCCTAATACACTTAAAAACTATATTAAGAGAGGTAAAGACAAATTGGAACATACGCAAAAT